CCAGCACGACCCCCCCCCAGCACGACCACCCCCCAGCACGACCACACCCCAGCACGACCACACCCCACCACGACCATACTCCAGCACGACCACACCCCAGCACGACCACACCCAGTCGCACCCCCGTGGAATGTTTCGTGGGGTGTCTGGTTGAGTGGTTGCCTGTTCGTGGGGTGTCTCGTGGAATGTTTCGCGGGGTGTCTCGTAGAATGTTTCGTGAGGTGTCTCGTGGAATGTTTCGTGAGGTGTCTTGTGGGATGTTTCGCGGGGTGCCTCGTGGGATGTTTCGTGAGGTGTTGCCCAGTTCGTGAAAACGTGACCATGCTGCACATGTCTATATCCCTTTCCGGGTTCGTGGGTCCATCATGTTTTCGCTTTCTGGTTACGTATAGTAGGGTCGGGACTTCCGGGGACGCCGTCTTGAAAAAATCAGAAAGAGCGTGTTCTACCGCTGCTGGCGGAAAACCGGGAGGGGTCACTACCCGTTCAACCCCCCCCCCTCCGGAAAACCATGGGGGGTCACTACCGGTTCGAACCCCTCCCCCCCCCCAGTCCATCATGAAAAGGGGGGAGGTATACCGGATCGAACCCCCTCCCTCCCGCTGGTTTCCGGCTTCCGGCTTCCGGCTTCCGGCTTCCGGCTTCTGGCTCCCGGCTCCCGCGGCTTCTGGCTTCCGGCTTCCGGCTTGGCTCCCGGGTCTGGAATTCGGGCTTCGGGCTTCCGGCGTCCGGCTTCCGGCTTCCCGTGTCCAGCTTCTGATTTCCGGCTTCCGGCTCCCGGCTTCCGGCTTCCAGCTTCGGGCTTCCGGCGTCCGGCTTCCGGCTTCCGGCTTCCAGATTCACGCTTGCTTCCAGCTTCCAGCTTCCAGCTTCCGGCTTCCGGCTTCCGGTTCCCGGCTTCCGGCTTCCGGCTTCTTTCCTCCCCCTGATTCCGGATCCGCCCTATTTTGGGGAAATTCGCAAGTAGGGCTTGGACTTTCCGCCTTACTTTTCAAGCCCCGCTAATGCCAATTTCCGCCCTCTTTTTCTGTTGCTGTTTCCGCCCTACTTCTGTGGATTTCCTCCCTACTTTATGTTGGGTGCAGAAATTTCCGCCCTACTTTTTCCCGGAAAGGGCGCCATCCCAGGGTTCTATTTCAGTTGGTAAACCTGTCCCCGGTGCCTCATCTGAGGGGCGCCGGCGGATTCTTTCTTGGATACATATCGAGGTCCAGGTGGGCCGGCGGACTAAAATTTGAGGATGTCTCAGGCGAAACGCTTGTTCTTTAAATCCCGATCGATAAATCATAGGGTGCGGGCCACCTTTTCGTGTGTTGAGGATGTCTCGAGCGAAACGCTTGTTTCCAGAATTTGTTGAGGATGTCTCGAGCGAAACGCTGGTTTCGCTGAGCCGACCGCGACGCAGAAAGCGCCCCGCGCGCAGGAATTCCGGGGATGTCTCGCGCGTGCCGTTTCCCGCGCGCAGGAATTTCGAGGATGTCTCGACTAATTTGTTTGTTTTGCCAGGATTTCTTTGAATTTTGGCAGGATGTCTCGAGCGAGATGCTTGTTTATCATAATTTATTGAGGATGTCTCGAGCGAAACGCTGGTTTTGCAACATTGGGGGATGTCTCGAGCGGGGGCCCCGTGGGGTGCCAGAATTCAGAGGATGTCTCAGGCGAAATGCTTGTTTTCACGTCCCGTTTGCAGGAATTCCGAGGATGTCTCGCGCGTGCCGCGTCCCGCGCGCATGAATTTTGAGGATGTCTAGATTAATTTGTTTGTTTAGCCAGGATTTCTTGGGATTTTGACAGGATGGCTCGAGCGAAACGCTTGTTTTTTTCATAATTTGTTGAGGATGTCTCGAGCGAAACGCTGGTTTTGCAACATTGGGGAATGTCTCGCTCGGGGGCCTCGTGGGGGGCCAGAATTCAAAGGATGTCTCAGGCAAAATGCTTGTTTTCACGTCCCGCTCGCAGAAATTCTGAGGATGTCTCGCGCGTGCCGCGTCCCGCGCATGAATTTCGAAGATGTCTCGACTAGTTCTTTTGTTTTGTCAGGATTACTTTGAATTTTGGCAGGATGTCTCGAGCGAGACGCTTGTTTTTATAATTTGTTGACGATGTCTCGAGCCAAACGCTGGTTTTGCAACATTGGGGGATGTCTCGAGCGGGGGCCCCGTGGGGTGCCAGAATTCAGAGGATGTCTCAGGCAAAATGTTTGTTTTCACGTCCCGCTCGCAGGAATTCTGAGGATGTCTCGCGCGTGCCGCGACCCGCGCGCAGGAATTCTGAGGATTTGGCAGGATGTCTCGAGCGAAACGCTTGTCCCCAGCACGTTCCGTAACGCGTCCCCTTGGCACGTCCCGCGGTGCGTCCCCATGGCACGTCCCTTGGCACGTCGCTTGGCGCGTCCCTTGAGACGTTCCGCGTCACGTCCTCCTGGCATGTGCCCCTGTCAATTAGCTCTGGGGCAGCTACTGTGTGTTGAGGCAGCTCGAGCTTAAGCTCCAGATCAGTTCGGTCAGGACTCGGATGCAAAGGAGGACTCGATCCACGAGGCTATAGAGCACAATCGCGGCATGGCACATCGCAATTCAGCACGGCGCAGCACAGCACAGCCTTCGGCACAGTACATCAAGATCGATACACTCAGCATTGCAACTTGGCACGTTCCTTGGCACGTTCCGTGGGGCGTCCCTTGACGAGCCCCCGTGGCACGTCGCGTGGCGCGTCCCCTGGCACATCCCGTGGCACATCCATTGGCACGTTCCGTAGCGCGTCCCCTTGGCACGTCCCGCGGTGCGTCCCCATGGCACGTCCCATGGCACGTCGCCTGGCGCACCCCTCGGCACGTTTCGCGGCGCGTCCTCTTGGCATGTTCCCCTGTCCATCAGCTCTGGGGCAGCTACTATGTGTTCAGGCAGCTCGAGCTTAAGATCCAGATCAGTTCGGTCAGGACTCGGATGCAAAGGAGGACTCGATCCACGACGCTATAGAGCACACTCGCGCCATGGCACATCGCAATTCAGCACGGTGCAGCACAGCACAGCACAGTCCCCCTGGCACGTCGCGCGGCGCGTCCCCTGGCACGTCCCGCGGCATGTCCATGGCACGTTCCGTAGAGCGTCCCCTTGGGACGTCCCGCGGTGCGTGCCCATGGCACGTCCCCTGGCACGTCGCGTGGCGCGTCCCCTGGGACGTTCCGCGGCGCGTCCTTCTGGCATGTCCCCTCAGTCGATTAGTTTTTTGGCAGCCAGCATCTGCTCAGGCAGCGCGAGCTTAAGATGCAGATCAGTTCGGTCAGGACTCGGATGCCAGGGAGGACTCGATCCACGAGGCTATATAGAGCACAATCGCGGCATGGCACATCGCAGTTCAGCACGGCGTAGCACAGCACAGCCCTCGGCACAGAACATCAAGATCGATACACTCAGCATTGCATTTGCCCGTCGCCCAATCAGGTGTCTTTGAAACGCTGCCATGCCTTACATTTCTGTTCCTTTCCAGGTTGGTGGGTCGATCATTTCAATCCGGAAGCGTTCGGCCCTTCGCAGCCAGCCCGGGAACAGCGAGGTCCTTTCTGGATCCACGATGTTCCGCGCTGCGCTGGCCCTCCCAGCAGCCTTCGAAAGTGGCGGTTTCACACTTCGCAGCCCTGCGCCGCCGAGCTGCCAGACAGGACGGCAAGACAGGGAGCATGCAAACAGGCAGACCAGCCAGGCGAGCGAACAGGGGAGACAGGAGAAGGGAGGAGGGCGGGACGGGGGCGAAGGAGAAACAGGTGTAGACCCAATCGCCCTATTCAAAGCGAGGATCCAGCCACGGCTTGGTGGGGGAAAGCCCCGAATGCGCCCAAGAGGTCCAATGAACAGACCGAGAGACCTCTAAGAGGCTCGCAGGAAGCCCTCCGTAATTTACAATGTAGGCTCAACTGTTTCAGGAAACCCTCCGTAATTACAACGTCCAGCGACATTCGTATTCAAAGTGTTTCAGAGCAGCGATGAACTCATTAATCGTGGCTCTTTTACCGATTGGTGTACTTGGATCATGCCCCTTCATGGACATTGGCACTCCTCCAAGTTTGAAGGCAGAAGTCATTTCTGACAGTGACTTCAAGACAGCCCTAGAAGGGCTAGACATTGAGGCACTTGAGCAGGACCTCGGAGTCCTCATGACAGACAGCCAGACTTGCTGGCCAGCCGATGATGGCCATTACGGTGGTTTTATGATTCGCCTAGCGTGGCATTGCGCTGGCACCTTTCGCACATCTGATCAGAAAGGGGGCTGCGGAGGTGCCAGAATCCGCTTCCCACCAGAGTCAGATTGGGAGGACAATGGTAACCTGGATAAGGCCCGTGCCCTTCTCGTTCCCATCTAGTGGCCTTCGGCCCATCCGCCACCGTGCCTTGGTGAGGGGTCAGAAGCCTCATGGATGTTCGTTGGGATCTCGTGGTTGGCGTCTTGAGGGCCTCTGGGAGGCAGTTTCGACGCTTCTTGGGGCCTCTAGGGGGCCTCTTGGGGGCCTCTTGGGGCCTCTTGGGGGCCTCTTGGGGGCCTCTTGGGGCCTCTTGGGGGCCTCTTGGGGGCCTCTTGGGAGCTTCTTAGGGAGCCCTCGGGGCCTCTTGGGGGCCTCTTGGGGCGGAGGGCTCAAATGTTCGCGCTCGGGGGCCACGATCTTCGTGAGGGGTGCCAAACAAGTTGCCCTCCCAACGTCACGCGAGAAGCCTGGGGCCGACGCGGCGAGCCCCATAAGATTTCATAATTTTGGCTCTGGTCCCCCTTAAATGCTCAGGACTGAGGACTGGGATTCAGGCAACGAGGCTCTGGGGAGGAGGCGAAGGACCTGAGGGCGCGCCCACTCCGTGCCTCAGGGCACGGTGACGGATCAAGCAAAAATATGGCGATGCTCTCAGTTGAGGTGACCTCATCAGTTTTGCTGGTACCGTTGCAATCCGGGACATGGGAGGCCCAACAAATCCGCACTGTTTTGGACGAGTCGATGATGCAGATGGTAACAGGAGTGACATTTTTGGCGTCACAGATAGCTGGCAAGATACGGACTGCGTTGTGCAAGGAAATTGCCAGGAGCCCATGGGTGCGGTGAAGGTTGGTTTGATCTATGTGAACCCTGAGGGGCCTTTGAACGACCCGAACGATCTGAACAGTGGGCAAAACCCAGATCCAGAGAAGAGTGCCGTCGAGATTCGGGAGGTGTTCGGCCGCATGGGGATGAACGATTCTGAGACAGCTACCCTGATAGCAGGTGGTCATGCTTTCGGCAAGTGTCATGGTGCCGGCGTTATGACGAGTGGCTTCGAGGGGCCGTGGACGACAACTCCTTCTCAATGGACCAACCAATTCTTGACTGGAATGCTTGATGAGGAGTGGGAGCAAGTCGCAACTCCATCTGGGTCGGCGGTGCAGTGGCAGACGAAGGACAGGACCAGCATCTTGGCTGGAACCATGCGTCTGACAGCAGACTTGGCTCTTGTGAGCGATGATGCGTACATGGCGTTAGCGAAACATTGGGTGTGTGACCAGCAGAAACTTGACATAGCGTTTGCCGCGTCTTGGAAGAAGCTCGTGGAGTCTGGCGGTGGATGGTTGCCCGTGGAAGACAGGAGGTGTGAGCCTGAGTCCAAGGCGACGGGGCAGCAACCGGACCCCCAAAAGAATTTCCATTCGGTGTGCGCCACGACGACCACTGATGATTCACAAGAAGCCAGCACTGCCACTAAATTCTGTTTGTCGTTTTTGGCGGTGGTTTTCACCCCGTTCAGCCTTGGCGTGCACTCCTGGCTTGCGTAGACTTTCGCGCTTGTATAGTGCATGGGTTCGCGCATGTGCGGGTTTTCACGATAACTTTAGTAATGGCGAGCTCCGTGGCGCAGGCTGCGGCCACCACGGCCGAAAAGGCGTCCGTTAATTTGAGCTAGGTCCTGGTGATGTTTGCGGCCTCAATGGCCGAGGGGGGGTGTAAGAGACTACACCCCCCAGTCACACAGGACGGTCCCTGCCGCTTGGCCCCAAAAAAAGAGCGCCGCTTCCTACCTCGAATCCTCCTGGGGGTTTTGCAAGGAGGGGAAAGGAAGATGAGGACACGGACCTTAGGAGGAAGAGGAGGCGAACGGCGAGGAGGAGGTTGGAGGAGGAGGATCGGAAGAGGATCGGAGGAGGGGGGGAGGGAGGAGGAGGAGTGCCGAGGAATGCCGAGGAGTGCCAAGAATGCCGAGGAGTGCCGAGGAGGGCCGAGGAGTGCCGAGGAATGCCTCGGGGTGCCGAGGGGTGCCGAGGAGTGCCGACAGGGGAAGAAGAAGAGGAGGAGGAGGGGGGAGGGAGAGGAGGAGGGGGAGGAGGAGGAGGAGGAGGAGGAGGAGGAGGAGGAGGAGGAGGAGGAAGGTGGTAGGAGGAGGAGGATGGAGGAGGAGGAGGAGGAGGAGGAGGTAGGAGGAGGAGTGAAGGTAGGAGGTGGAGGAGAGGGCAGGAGGAGCAGGAGGAGGAGGAGGAGGAGGAGCAGGAGGAGCAGGAGGAGAGGGAGGAATGCCTAGGAGCGCCTAGAAGCGCCGAGGATTGCCGAGGAGTGCCGAGGAATACCGAGCAGTGCGGAGCGAGGAATACCGAGGATTGCGGAGGAGTGCCGAGGAGTGCCGAGAGGGGAAGGAGAAGAGGAAGAGGAGGGGGGAAGGAGAAGAGGAAGGGGAGGAGGAGAAGGAGGAGGGAGGAGGAGCAGGAGGAGCAGGAGGAGGAGGAGCAGGAGGAGCAGGAGGTGCAGGAGGAAGGGAGTGCCGAAAGAGTGCCGAGGAGCGCGATGAAGGTGGAAAGGGGGGTGGGGAGGGGGTCTCCGTATCCTTTTGGCTCAGGTAATCCATTTCCGAGGCGGCTTACTGAGAAGCCCATTGCTTCGTGCATGCCGTGATCCTGTTTGGCCTGCCGTGGCCTTTCCAGGGTGCCTTTGCGTTTTCCCATGGAATCCATGGTTTCCTAGGGATCCAGTCCGGAGGAATCAGGCTGGAAGAGGTCAATTCGGAAATCGAATTCGGGAAGTCGGAAATCTGAATTCGGATATCCGGGTTCCGGGTTCCGGGTTCCGGGTTCCAGGTTCCGGACTGGACCTCCGAGTTCGGATATCCGGATTCCAGGTTCCAGGTTCCGGTTTCAGGTTCCAGATTGGACCTCCGAATTCGGATATCCGGATTCGGGGTTCCGGGTTCCGAGTTCGAGGTTTCGGAATTGGACCTCCGAATTCGGATATCCGGTTTCCGGGCTTCCGGGTTCCAGGTTCCGGATGGGACTTCCGAATTCGGATAGTTATCCGGATTCGGGGTTCCGGGTTCCAGGTTCCGGATTGGACCTCCGAGTTCGGATATCCTGATTCTGGGTTCCGGCCGGATTCCAGGTTCCGGATTGGACCTCTGAGTTCGGATGTGCGGATTCGTGGTTCCGGGTTCCGGATTCCAGGTTTTGGGTCGGGCCTCCGAATTCGGATATCCGGATTCGGGGTTCCGGGTTCCGAGTTCGAGGTTTCGGAATTGGACCTCCGAATTCGGATATCCGGTTTCCGGGTTCTGGGTTCCAGGTTCCAGATTGGACCTCCCAATTCGGATATGCGGACTCTGGGTCCGGGTTCTGGATTCCAGGTTTTGGGTTGGGCTTCCGAATTCGGATATCCAGACTCTGGGTCCAGGTTTTGGGTTCCAGGTTTTGGGTTGGTCCTCCGAATTCGGATATGCGTATTCGGGGTTCCGGGTTCTGGGTTCCAGGTTCTGGATTGGACCTCCGGATTCGGATATCCGGATTCCGGTTTCGGGGTTCTGGGTTCGAGGTTCCGGATTGGACCTCCGAGTTCGTGTCCCAGGTTCCGGGTTCCGGGTCCAGGTTTCGGATTGGACCCCCGAGTTCGGATATGCGGATTCGTGGTTTCGGGTTCCAGGTTCCAGGTTCTCAAACATGGAGGCATCTTCGAAAAATGAGTTGTTCGCAACATCTTCTCAGCTTTGGGTGCCAAGGGCAAATCAAGAGGACCCCAACACGGCTCAAGATGCACCGAAGTTTGCCCAATACGTGTTCAAAGCAGCTGTCTAAGACGGCTCAGTATAGCTCTTCCTTTTTCCCGGAAAGGACTCGGGCCCAGGGTTCTTTTTTAGTTGGTTTATTCCCCACCGGAAGAGGGCCGGCAGATTTCCGCTCGATAAAGAAACGAGGTAAAGTCCAATTCGGCGTGAAAAAATACGTTTCGCGCGTGGATCACGCTCTCTCCATCATTCGCAGGCGACTGTTCGCCCCCAATCCCCGAGTTGCCCCCCGAAAAATCAGGTCGCCAAGACAAAAGGGGGCAGTCGGGGATGCACCCCTCAGGGGGCTATTCGAACGCACCCCTGTCGAGGATGGGCGCCCCGTGTCGTGTATCCCCGAGCGAGGCCCCACATTTCAGGTCCACTCGAAGCGGGGCGCTGTCTCTTCAAAACGAGGACCCAACACCACAGGATGGTTGGGAAAAACATCAGACATCTGGATGTTTTCACTCTGCGGGCCCAGGATCCCCGACGCATCAATGGGGTATTTTTTCTAGCGTAGCCCGAATGTGCTTCTCGCGAGGTAAGCTCCGACTGACTGACAGACAGGCAGTCTGACTGACCGACTGACTGACTGACCAACTGACTGGTCGCACCCGCCACACGGCCGTTGTATTCTCGGCCTCCGAAGGCGCGACCGATGGCGCAACCAAGAGGAGGCGGTATTCTCTGCCGCCGAGGGCGCAACCTATGGCGCAACCATAGCGGGCGGTCTTATTTTCAGCCGCCGCCGAGGGCACAACCCATGGCGCAACCTCTAGGAGACGGTTTTATTCTCGGCCGCCGAGGGCGCAATCTATGGCGCAACCAATCGGAGACGGACTTATCTCGTACACCGAGGGCGCAACCATTGGCGCAACCAATAGGAGACGGAAATATTCTCGGCCGCCGAGGGCGCAAGCCATGGCGCAACCACAAAACGACGGGATCGTTCTCGGCCGCCGAGGGCGCAACCGGGCGAAACCAATGAGGGACGGGCTCATATTCTCGACCGCCGGGGCGCAACCCTTGGCGCAGCCAACAGCAGACGGTTGAAGTCTCGGTCGCCGAGGGCGCCGCCCATGGCGCAGCAGATAGACGGCGGTTCTATTCTCGGCCGCCGAGGGTCCAACTTCTGGCGCAATCGATAAGCGACGGCTTTACTTTCGGCCGCCGAGGGCGCAACCCATGGCGCAGCCCATTGAATACAGCTTTACCTTCGGCCGCCGAGGGCGCAGCCTATGGCGCAACCAACAGGAGAAGGTTGTCCTCTTGCACAGGGTGGCCGGAGCCCCGACCACTGCATTTCGCGTCGCGTCACCCGTCTCTTCTGTATTGTTCTGGCTGTGTTTTGGCCTATCAGGTTGCCCAGAATCGGAGCTTCAAGCACATGTCGTTGTGCTTCGGCCTTCGCATCCTCCCACGTCCATTTACCCCGTGTGAGACCTAGAAGTACTGCCATCTCTGCCCTGCCGCTCGCTCTGCGCCTCCACAGCGAAGAGCTCGAGGCCATGCGGCCCGAGTTCCAAAGACAATGGGCAGGCGCTGACGTCTCGAGCCAGAGGCAACGGCGACTGGCCCGCGTATCCGAGGGGGGCACGACGGGACAACCAGAGTTGAGCCGTTTCTTGCCCCAGCTGGGCCCAACCCCTCCACGCGCATTGGTCTTAGGCTGCGCTGTGCTGCGTCAGAATGATTCACAGGATCCACCCGACACACCTTTACAGGACCCTCTCAGGACCATGTCGATACCCTTTCAGAAGCCCTTCAGGACCCTATTAGGACGGTTTCAAAAGCCAGGGAGGAGAAGGACGAGGATGATTAGCAAGTGGACGAGCGACGGAGTAATGAGGAGGTGTGCTGAGCAGGAGGAGGAGGAAGAGGAGGAGGAGGAGGAGGAGGAGAAGGAGGAGAGGTGGAGGAGAGAGGAGGAGGAGGAGGAGGTGGAGAGGAAGAGGCGCAGGAGGAGGTGGCAGAGCGACATCATGACGAATGAGGGGGGAGGAGGAGGAAGAGGATGACAAGTGAGGAGGGGAGTGGGGAAAAGGAGGCGGAGGAGGAGGAGGACGAGGAAATGGGGAGGAGGAGAAGGAAAAGGAGGAGCAGGAAGAGGAGAGGAGGAGAAGGAGGAGGAGGAGGAGGAAGGAGGAGGAGGATGATGGTGGATGAGGAGGAGGAGCTGGAGGAGGAGGAGGAGGAGGAGGAGGAGGAGGAGGAGGAGGAGGAGGAGGAGGAGGAGGAGTGGCGAGGACGACCTGTACTTGATTTGAACGTCCTCGCAGATCAAGGTCGATGTCCTCCAAGTTGGCCCAAAAGCGCCCCGAAAGCTCCCTAGAGCGCCCCAAGAGGGCCCCAAGAGGCGCCCAGGCGGCTCCAAGAGGCGCCCAAGAGGCCTCCGAGAGGCTACCAAGAGACCCTCAAGAAACCTCAAGAAGATCCCCGAGGCGCCCAAGACGCTCACAGACTGCCCTGGGCCCGCCAAATCGCACCCGAGACGCTCCAAGAGGCCTCCACTGGGGTCATATGTGTGCTGCCACTTCCCTGATAGAGGCTACTCCTCTGGGCATCGT